CATACATTATAATAAAATTAACTTTAAATTTGTATCAACAAATCAAAATCTATACCAACGTAAAATATTTAAGATTAATAGTTGTTTGGATTAAAGTAGTCTCAATAATCTAAACTTTTATTCTATCACTTCTATATCATATCCCCTTTTTGCTTTTAGAAGAAAAGTTTTTGATTTAACTCCTTTGTTTAGCTTTTTTCCTGACTATGACCAATAACAATTTGTAACCAATCCTCTTTAAATGATAACAAACAACTGTTTTTATTTAAGCTTTCTTTAGGTCTTATGTGAATCTACTCTGATAATGGGTGCTATTTGTAGGTGGGATTTTCCTGTCCCGACCTCCTGCTCCAAATAACTTGGAACTGCTTTCCAAAAACTGACTTAAAGACTTAATATAAATTACAAATGTTCAAATAGCTCAGGCTATTACTACCTAACTCTTATATTTAAATTAACCCATATTTCTTATTTATGCTATGCCATGTGGCTCATGGCTTGTTAACTCATTTCTTACACATCCTGCTTCCTCAGTGGCTGACTGGCATTTTTCTCCACTCCACCGTTTTTCCTCCCAGCATCCTTAGTTTGGTTGCCCTGACTATACTTTCTTCCTGGACTGGCCAGTCAATGTTTTATTAAACCAATTTGAGTGACAAATCCACAGCACATCCTTTATATGAAGACCTGAAATCCAAAATGCTCTAAAATCAGAAACTGGATTAACAACTAAGATAAAGGCGCTGTTAGACCTGAGCAACTGGGGGGCAACCACCCAGTTCCACTACTGTCTGATTAAAGCAAGCTGTATGTAGAACTGGCCAGCCAACTGCTTCTCCCAAAACTGGCATTTTTTTGGGAAAAGCAGTCCCTCACTGGTTTCTAACGTTCCTTTTTGGAGAGGGGTTAGGGTTGATAGAAAACAGCTATTGAGATAATTGGCTGTTAGCACCTGGACAGAAGAGTTGGGACTCAGGGCTCAAGGTTGCCTGTGGGGTAGATAAGCGCAAGAATCCATCATGTGTTAGGGGAGTCCTGAAGGTATCAGGGAAGACACATTTTCTTTAGACAAAAGGGTAGTCATAGCAGAAGTTCAGGAGTTTGGCAAGACAAAAGAGATCTACATACTTCATGCGGTTACAAGTTCAAACATGGTTTCGAGGATACATTAGGCTTAGGAAACAGACACTCTTGTAAGGTATGGAGACTTAATACCAATGTGTAACAATGTGGCTCTTTGATGTCATGGTGCCAGGTTAGGGGGATGAGGGTGTGCTTGGCCTACAAGCATGATGACCAGAGTTTGATCCTCAAAACCCATCCGAATTTGCCATGCAGGGGCTAGAGAGCAGTTTAGGGGGTTGAGAGCTCCTGCTGCTTTCCCAGGAGACTGGGTTCGGTTCCCAGCACCTACATGGCAGCTCACAACTACCTGTAACTTCATCAGGGGACTCTGATGCCCTCTTCTGGCCCCTGTGGGCACTGCACTCACATGCACATACCACTCCACCATATAACTGTTTATTAAAAGCCAGTTCTTGCAATGCCCTAGCTGGGGAGGAGACAGGTGAATCCCTAGGGCTCACAGGACGGCCTATTCTAATTAGCCAGCCCCAAGCTACTGAGAGACCCTGTCTCAAAATGCCAGGTCAGCAAAGGGTCTGAACAGCTGAGCCATCTCTCCAGCCCCAGTGAAATCCCTTTATAAACTGTACAGTGTCTGCCAAAATATAGAGGTGAACACACTGCTCCAGAACACACCACCACACGTTCTTGGATTTTAAAAAGGAAATGTTTATTGTTGTGTTACAAGGTGATTATAAACTCCTCTAAAAAAAGCAAAGATGGATTTAAAATATCAATATACATATTCATCTAAAAAGCAAAAGAGGAAAAAAACACGAACCTCTGCAAAATGCAGGGTCGTCGTCATTAAACATCAATACACAGAGCTTGTATACTGCAAGACAGGTCACACACCAAGGATCCTTCAAACACGAACGCTCCTCCCCTTGTTGATTGGTTTCAGGTTTTGTGTCTGTGTGTGCGTGTTTGTTTTTTTGTTTTTTATTTTTTACAAAAGTTTAAAATATCTTAAAAATATTTTGAAGTTTTTTAAAAAATGTCCTGATGAGCCAGACATATTTCTGAAGGAGGCAAAACCCACGTTCTCAGCTTTCTCTTGTGCTAAATACAGAGTCACAGTTGTTAGGGATTAGAAAGATCAGTTGGGTTTAAAAAAAAAAAAAAGTGGAGCTACCATTTCATTTTGAAGCCAAATATATAACAAGATGCTCTGTCCTTCAGGGAACATGCCAGAACATGCCTGTAATGATACCACCACCACCACCCCTCCACCCTCCCAAAGAACATGGAAAACCAGCTTCCTGTGACGACCCAACTACTGGGAGGTCAGCATGGAGGAGGAGAGGCAGGAGCAGTGCTTCTGGCTTCCAGGGCACCCCTCTCCATCTTGGGGTATCTGGGTTTGGTTTTGTGTGTAGTTTTGGACTTGATGAAGGAAGGGGTGTGCACACAGAGGTATTTACAGTGTCCATAGGGACAGGGGTCTCAGGATTGAGGGGGACTGTGAGGGGCCTTCTCTAAATTGCCTTCCTGGCTGGTGTCTGCGTCTTGGAGAGAGGATCAAGACTGGTGCCCGTTTCGACTGGTTGCCTAGAGCATTGCCCCGCCCAGAGGAGCAGGGCTGGAATGCTGGCGGCCATGGCAGTGGCACCCGGGGATACAGAAAGCCCCTTCCTGGACAGAGGGGACACATGCTGCATTCTCCTCATGTTTTGCCATGGTCTGCATGGTCTTTGCGGGTGTTAGGGAGATGAGGATTGGGGGCCAGGGGCGTAGAGGGAAACTTCCCATCATCTTCTCAAGAGGGAAAGGAACCTTCTCAGGCTACTCCTGCATAGCCTTGGCTACATGGAGGTCAAGGACCTGCCATTGTAGCGTGCCTCAGGCCCTTCTCACTAGTGCTGACTTTGGCCCTCAGTTTCCTGTGGTACGAGTTAGGGGGTAGGTATCAGTTCCTAGCTCCTAAAGGCTTTGGGGAGGAAGGAAGGGTAGCATGGGGCTGGGGTGAGCAGGAGTAAGGATGGGTGGAAGTGGGGTCGGCTCTCTGCTCCATGAGCACGGACAGGGGCCCTTATCACTCTGGCCTTTGGTTGACAAGGAAGGCCTGGGGGTTCTCAGCCAATGCCCCGGTTCTGCTTTCCTTCTGCCCATACCTTGGAGATCCTGGAGCTACAAATGACTCAATTATCCAGTTCCACACAGCTCACATGCAAGTCTCTCCTGCTCTAGGCCTTGGTTTTTCTGTTTACAAAAAGTGCCTTGGATTGAGGGCCCCCTGGGACTGTCCACAGTGCCCAGTAGGGATCCTCCACTCAGGGGCTAACAGTCTTGGGACCAAATAACATCTCCCAGGATAGTCCTCCTGGGTCCACCCTGGTCCTCATCTAAATCCAGCATTGTGTCCTGCCCACAGCTGACAGGCCGGACACACCTGACCTGTCCCAGGCAAGGGCTGGGTGGGGGACCGCTTAGCCCTCTCTCCAAGAGGCAGGCGGACCAGAATCACGAGCTCTACTTCAAAATGTTCCTTACATGCAGACATGGAAAGACAAACATCACAAGCAGGGCTCTCAGGGCCAGGGATGACAGTGGTGGGCATTGAAGACAGGTGCAGGGATACTGTTGGGGAGTGGGCTCAGGAGGCGGCTGGCCTTCCATCCAGGCGGGGCCTGGGGACTTGGCCCGCTATGTCTTTGGTCTAGAATTTTTTTTATCTGGGAATGATAAAAAGGCCTTTCTCAGGCCATTTCCAGAATGGTGTCATTTGTCTGCCAACCCAAAATACTGAAGGCTCGCCAGAATGGCGTGCCTGGCGGAAGGGAGCGGTAGACGGGCATGACCACAGACGCTGCCGCCGCTGGACAAGCCCCCCTCTCCCTTACACTTCACCTGTCTTCAATCACCCACAGTGGTTACTTTTAAGGTTCCATAAAACAAACAAACAAACAAACAAAACAAAACAGGGCACATTACAAATTGGTAAAATCAGGGGGGAAAAAAAACTCCAACACACAGAAGAACACAAGAAATACACAGGACAACAGGAACACGGTAGAATCACGGGTGGCTGACTGAACAACCACTGGAAGAGGACTGGAGGGTCACTTGGCAGAGTACATTGCTTTGGAGACAGAGAAATGTGTACATTTGTCAAAGAGGTTCAGGATGGCACAGTTGGGCCCAGTGGAGGCTGGGGGTGAAGGTGTAGCGCCCTCTCCTGGTTCAGAAGGAAACAGCCCTGCCTGAGGTCAGCATTGGCGGCCTCTCCGTGGAGACAACCTCAACCTACAAAATTTCCCTTTCTCTTCTCTCTGGGGGCAAACACCTGTCCAACAGTCACGGCAGTGGCTTGGGAACAAGATCTGAGGTCACTACCAAGTTGGCTTTGTAATTGAACTTAAATTCTTTAAGATCCAGCATCTATAGCCACTCCGAGCGTTCTGTGCCGGGAGCTGGATGGCTCTAGGGTGTCATCTTTAACAAGGGTTTGTCATGAGGCAAGGCAGGAAAGTATCCTCCTGGGGTACACTTGCCAGTCTGGGGTACACTCACCCTCCTGAGCTACTAAAATCCTTTGGTCCACTGACTTCTCTCCAGGACCTCACCAAAATGCATTCTGCTTGGGGAACGCCCTGACCCCCACCCACCATGACTCCATTCAAATACAACAGCCCCTTCTTGTGTGTGCCCTGGCAGCTCCTGTGGACTGGCCTCGGGCGACTGTGTTGAGTGTGCCAGAAAAGCTGAGGCTTCTGTCTAAGCATGCTGAGCTCCCAGCCCCATTCTCATCTGCCGGTCAGACTTCCCATTCCTGTCTAAGACCCATGGTGGTTCAGACAACCCCACTGACTACCCACCCTCTACTTCAAAATAAAAGGGAGGGGTTTGGCCCTGGTACAATGGCTTCAGCTGCATTTAGGCTCAATCCTTCATGCTGAGGGTGGGGCTATTATTTTGGCATCTTTCTTGTGGGTTCTCCCCACAGCCCTGCTCTCTCCTGCCCCTCAGGTCTGTTCAGCTAGTGGGGGCTCCCTCTCCTCAGCTGTATTCTTCCTCCTGAACCAGCCCAGAAGGAACTAAACCTTGCTTGAAGATGTAACCACCATCATAGAAAAAATTCCACCCAGCATTTAGGGTTTTTTTTTCTTTTTTTTTGTTTGTTTTTGGGCAGAACTTTCTGCCAGCTATATAAGCACCGAAGAATTGCTTTTGAAAATGAGATCCATTGCTGGCAAAACCGTTTCAAGTGGTAAAGTGTATGACAGACTCTAAGTATATATAGTTATGTGTTAAAAAAAAAATACAATGAAAAATTTACCAAGTTCCCATAAAATACATCAAAATCAATAAGAAAGTCCATCCTCTCCCCAGGACTTAGGCCCGTGGGTTCTTTTTGTACAAAATGTCCCCCGAATCAAAACAAAATGCAGACAGATACGTGACACACACACACACACACACATAGAGTAACATTTTCTGTGACAATTAAAAAAAAATCCTAGTACAAATATAAAGCTCTGTAAACCTGGTCCTATGAGAATCTAACGTTAGTAAACAGGAAAGCGGCGCCCGTGGCGTGACCCGGACCTCACATCATGGTCTCCACAATGACGTGGCTGGGTTTCATGAGCGTGCCGTTCATGAGGGAGCGGGAGTTGAAGGGTGTGGCCCCCTCCCGTTCCACAGCCCAGCGGTTGGGCTCTCTGGGGGTGATCAGGTATTTGATTCTCTGTTAAAAAAAAAAAAAAAAGATGAGGAGGGGTCAATAGGGGACTCAAGGGGTTCCGCTCCACCTACCTCTTGAATACCCCAGGGTGCTTGCTGTGTGGTATTTGACCGCTGCCACTTGCTCTGGGCCTTTTGTTGGTTTTTGGAAATGGAGGGGAACGCCCCCCCCCCCCCCCCAATGTCCTACAGTGGTTTCTACAGCCAACCTCTGCACACATGCTTAAAGACAGGCCCCACCTAACTCAACGCATAGGAACTTTCCCTGAGGAGCTGAGTTGTGTCTCCCTGTGGTTTATTCACCCTGGTTGCTTTGACTTGGGTTAGGTTACTAACCTAAGGCTCCACCTTCTCCGAGGAGAAAGTTGGACCCCTTGCCCTCCCAGAGCCTGTGTTTCCTGCTTCCGGGAGGTAGTTCCTCACAAGCAGTCCCTTTCCTGCTGGGTTGAGAGTCCACTGCAGGGAGGGCTCTGCCCTTTGAGATAGGAGACAGCAGGGAAACTCCTCAGATCCTCTGGGCATGGAGCCCAGACTTCCCAGTGTGGTGACTGATCATGGAATCGGTGAGGAAAGAGTCCCCTCTAGGGACTCCAGGAAGTTACTAGCAGAGCCGGGAATGGAACTTGGCTCCTACCTCCCACCTTCTGCCCACTTCCTGCCAAGTGCTCAGACAGAAATGGGCCAGTGGTTGAGGGGGAGGGGCCAAGAGGGGAAGAAAAGGCCCTCCTAGGTATTTACATTCAACTATGGCGTATTAACAGCCGGAAAAGCCACTTAAAGCCTGCATAGGCGTGTGGACTTGAGTTTTCCCTGGCATTGCCAAAGAATCTTTCAAACTCATTATTTCACTTGAGAATCCACATTTCCACATTCTCTTGGAAAAAAAAGAAACAAAACAAAACAAAAACAAATCAACAAAGAACACAAGACCTGGTCCTACAAACACCTGAGTTGCTCTAAGCAGGCCAACAAACCTCCTCATAGACCTAGCCTGCCTGCTCCGCTTCAACCCTGCCTCCCCTGCGTTGGGCTCCATCTGCAGTGTGGCAAAGTGGCTAGCCACGGGGGATGTCTACATGGGAAGCTCAGCTAGCTTTGGAATCCTGGTAGGGCTGGAGATCCGGGTGTGCCACTAGCTACCTCACAACCTGGAGGCCACCTGGACAGTTGGTGCTGCCTGACCAGCTGCAGCTTACTGTAGCTGTGGGAGACCTCCTCCCCTGTCCCCCTCACTGCCCCCGCTGCTGCTCCTCCCTCCCTCAGCAGCTCATTCTGAAGAAACCTGTCTGCACATAGGCCAGACCAGCCTCTTGAAATCAGGCCTTGAGCCAGACAGTGGGCCTTCTACCCACACCCCAGCACTAGGGAGGCTGAGCCAAAAGAGCTGTGTATTTGAGCCAAACTGGGCTCTCTAGTGAATTTTAGACCAGCTCGGGCTATAGATTCAGACACTGTCTCAAAAGACACCTGGAATTTCAAGAGACCCCCCCACGCCAACTTAATGACTGCTACAGAAGTTGTCTAACCTGGCAAACCTCTAGAAACTCCTACCATATTCAACTAACTTATGTTTGGGTGGTAACAACCCTCTAAGGTGGTAACCCAGGTTGGCTCAGGGCACTAGGGGCCACCGGGAGGGCTCAGAGCAGATGCTGCACAGCCTGTCTGGCCTGGGATCTAGTGTTTCATCATTAACAATACAGAGGGATTTAGACTCTGCTTTAATAGTAGGAGAGCTGGGTCCTAGCCCCAATCCTCTACTCTCTAGGAGTCTCAGGGCCTCAGACCAGCATGTACCCCTAGCTCCTTCCCTGTCTCTTCTCTTCTCTCCCAGCCAATACAGCCCCCTCTAAGGGAAGAAGCCTGGGCCAGGCCAGAGGGGAGCCAGAGCCCCAGGACATCCTGGCTCCAGATTCTTTTTGTAAGAGAATAAAAACAGCTCAGAATAAAACTGTGGGGCCTTGGAGGCAGCCCAGGCACAAAGGTTAAAGTAGATTCTGAGAAAGGGATTTCGTGGAAAGAGCAGGGGACTGCCAGGCCTGGAGGCTCCCACATTGTGGGAAGAATTCCTGAGGAGGCTGGGGGCAGGGAAGGGGCGCCATGAGGAGACAAGCAGTCAGTCCTAAAGGCGAGATACAGGGCAGTGGGACAGGATGGCACACCCCAGCACAAAGGGTAGCATGGGGGGAGGGCAATGGGGGGTGGGGGTGCTGGGTTTCCTCTCCAGAGTCCATCTCCTGTCCTGACTCAGAACAGAGATCCCACACCCTTTAGCTTGGCACGTGAGGCCATTGTCCTCTCTCTAGCCTGACCAGTAATCCTCTGTATCTGATACCAGGACCATATTCTATCTCATATTATGTTGGGTACTGTCCTCTTAAGTCCATGGTCCACTTCAAATGTCACCACAAAGTCTCCTCCCAGGTGAATGGCACCTATCTCTGCTTGCAAATAGCACACCCCTGCCTTTTGTGCAGTGAGAGAAGACCAGGGGCTTGGAAAGGGTCACACAGAAACCGGCACTGGTGGTCTGCCACCCCCATCGCCCACATCCCATGCTCACCACGCGGAGCGGTCCCTCCGTCCGGCAGAGGAAGATGAGAATGACCAAGGGGATACACACCATGGAGGAAAGGGCCAGGGCCCAGCCCAGCCCAATTGCCCAATCCGGGTACACGTAGACTTTGTTGTAGGTCAGGGGTACATACTTGACAAGAGAGAAGACGAAACATCCCTGTGGAGAGATGGGGCAGTCAGAGAGAGTGGGATGGGCCTTTACCGGGGCAGGGCCTCTCCCCTATCCTTACTATGGACATGGGGCAATATTATCTCTTATAGTGCTCTCTAGGGAAAATCTGGCCAAACCACCTGTTCCGAGTCCTTCCCTGTCTTGCCAGGTCCTTTGCAACTAACCATATCAGCTCACAGCTATGATCTCCTTTTTTGTCAACTGCCCCGACCCCTCAGGACTCTTTCTAACTCTTTAGCATGTGCCCGGGACCTTAACACAGGCTGTTCCCCCTGCCTGTCTCTTTTTCTTCATTTTTCACCCGACTTCCGCTCCAACACACTGGCCTTGCTTGCCCAGACCCCAGCTTTTTTCCTCCAGGAGCCGTGTGGCCCTGATACCCAAAGTTCAGCAGCCTCTAGGGCAGTGGTTCTCAATCTGTGGATCGTAACCCCTTTGCGGGGAAGGGTGTCAAACAACCCTTTCACACTGGAAAATACAGATATTTACACTGCAATTCCTAACAGTAGCAAAATTACAGTTATGAAGTAGCAATGAAAGTAATCTTATGGCTGGGGTCGCCACAGCATGAGGCACTGTCTCAAGGGGTCGCAGCATGAGGAAGGTTGAGAACCACTGCCCTGAAGCATCTTTCTTCTCTTTAACAGCTGCAGCTTTGGGCATACCCAGCAAATGCTCCATAAACATCCAAGGCATGGCTGAGAGCCAGACAACCAGCAACCTCAATGCCATCACCTCTCTGTACACTGGTCACCAGGTCTGGTCCAAGTGACAGGGTGTGGACCTGGCCTTGACCCTGAAGAAAGAGTAGGGTGGGGTGAACCCTGGACCCTAAAGTTGTGCAGAGTCCACCTTTGCCTTTGAGAGGGCCTCCTAGGGGACTGCCAGGAGGCACCCCAGGGAGGGTCATGGGTGAACTCAATCAGCTGCTCACTGACTAACAACAAGGTCAGACGGAACAGAGTGGCACAGGGTGAGGGCAGATGGTCCACAGGACCCTACCTTTCTCTGATGCTTTCTGCCTAGAAAGCCGGGGCTCAGAAAGCCATTGGCTCCAGTCGCTACCTAGCTTTTCCAGCAGGGAGCCTCAATCTGCCTCAGAGTACAGTCCACCTCTGTTCCAGGCAACTCTCCAGAGAGGAGAGAGAAGGAGATTGGGGGTCAATGTGAGAGGGACCCCACGCATAAGCCTGGGGTGATTGAGAATGCCAGTGCTGGCCTGAGCCTGGCTGACTGCGTCTCTACCTGGGTGGGGCCCCCTGTTTGTGTTCTCTTGACTTTGTTGGGGGTTGTGTGTTGAGAACCACAGTCACGCTCATCAGATTCTAAACTGTCACCTGCCACTGAAGTCCCATGTCAGGGTGTCTTTGTCACAGAAGTGGGGAAACTGAGGCCCAGATAGAGAAGTGAATTGGCATGTCTGCTCGGTCTGGCCTGGGAGTAGAGGTCACAGGAAAGGGGACCCATTAATCTCTAAGCACTGGTTCTAAAGTGAAGGCCATATGGACTCAGGGTGCTAGCCAGGAATAGCAGCGCAGGTGGGGCTCCCACACACTTGGGTTCCTAGGGCGTGGGCCAGGATGGACTGTGAGAGTTTAATGGGTCCCACAAGCAGAGTCTTAAGACAAAGACCTTGCTGAAAGTGCCCATGCAAGCATCAAGGCCGGCTCCAAGGTGGTGGGCAAAGGAGAGCAGCCTGGCCTAGTGGGACTGCCCTTCCTGTTTCCTCTTCTTCACAAACTCTTATTGGTCCTACAAAACCCTTCTTAACCAGGCAACAAAGAGCAACCTACCCACCCCTCTCTGGTATAGCTGAAGCTGGCTTGGTCAAAGCCCACACCTAGGAGATGCTAAAGAGAAGGCAGGCTCTCAAAGGGAGACTTGTCAGACTGGGAGAGACTTACAACACAGAGAGCTGGAGTGATGACAGCCCAGCTGTACTTCATCCAGGGCCCAGGCCGATAGCCAATCATGTCCTCAATACCGTCATATAAGTTATCACCGCCTATGAGAGACAGCAGTGTGTGAGGCTCAGGTGACACATTGGCCAAAGCCAGAACAGCCCTGGGGAACAGTGCAGCGGGGGTCACCTGGGGACCTCTAACACCACCAAGCATGGTCAGGGGTGTCTAAGGCAGCTTGCCACTTAGATGCAGTTGGGTGCCTGTATTTTGCTGCAAATCTTAGACAGAGCCCACATCTCAGTGTGGCCAACCTCAGATATCTAAGAGGTCAAAGTGGACCGTTTCTAGGCCAAAGAGTAGGTCATTACAGGCTCTGGTGTGACGGTGTTATATTTATAGCCACATATGTTCCCACCTTGTGCTTCCAGTGGGATTATCTGTGAGACGCTGAAGGGGCCTCCCAGAGTGAACATTTTGGGCAAAGGAAGTTTTTCCATTAAATTCTCTGACCAAATGAACAGCTTGAAAAAGGATGTGTACGCAATTATACTCACCATATATCCAGGCAATAACAAAACATTCAAAGAATGCAACCCACAAAAGGCATACACCACTAGCTGCATAGTAGTCAAAGAGTTGAAACACATACATGCCACCCTGTAAGGGGAAAAAAAAATCAAAGATAAAGTTGGTTTGTTATGTGATCTCCAGTTCCCTTCATATATATAAAGGGCTATGCAAATCCAATTTTTTTTAATTCTAAAGAAAAATGGGCAAAAGCTAGGATGATCAAATATAGGTTATGAAGAAAAGAAGAAAAGAAGAAGAGGAATTGGAGGAAGAAGAATATGATATTCGGGGCTAAGTGTGGGGGTTCACAGCACTTACAACAAATACTCTAGAGGCCAAGGCAGGTGAATTGCTGTGAGTTCAAGGCCAGTTAGGGCTGTATAACAAATTCAACTTCATGTTTGGCAAAACACACAGGGTTGGGGGAGAACCTTACAACACAAAGGGTCACAGAAATCTATACACACAGGTGGGCTTAAAATCCAAGTGTGACCAAGTCCAGGGAACTCCTGCTTGGTGAGTGGATGCTATCTGACTTTGGAAGGGTGTTCTCACAAGCACTTCCCTCAAAGTTTCTCCTTCTGGTAAAGAAAAGTGGTGAAGCCCTGAACAGGGTCTGGGCTAATGATTGACAACCTTCTCCTGGAGAACTCAGCTAGGTCAATATTTGGGGGCTCATCCCTCTTATCTGTCCTTTCTCCAGTCACTGCGATCTCTAGCCTTCAAACCTCCTGTTCCCTTCCGTTCCTGGTGTCTCCTCTTCCTAGTCGAAGTACAGTTCCAGCCCTCTGGGCATAGTGGATGCTCTATTCAGCAGACAACCACGCAAATGGTAGAGCACTTGCCACACAAGTGGCAGGGCCTTGGTTTGACCACAGCATCTCAAAAAGGGAGTGTGGGGGAAGCTACGTGGTCACTGAGAGCTGAATAGATCAAGGATTGGGGGGGGGGGGCAATCCGAAAGGAGTACAGCAAGTACCCCCCTCCCAGCTGCCCCTCTTGTGGCCTTGAGAAGGTGGCTGGGCACTCAATCCAAATGTATGAAGGGAAACCCCTCACGCCACCTACCTCCGTCACCATCGTCAGCCCCAGCAGGTAGCTGATGCTACACACGATGGCAATGAAGATTTCCCGACGATAACCCTTCCTTAGGAAGGACGGGTAAAGATCAACCAAGGATGTGATCTGTCCTTCGACTTCAACAAACTGACGGGCGAGAGAGAGAGAGAGAGAAGGGGTGTGAGGGGACTCAGCACTGGCGTGGAGCTCAGAAAGAGGCCTTGGCAAACCCGACAAGAGATAGGACTAGGAGCCCTGTCCTGGGCAAGGCCTCACAAGACCTACCTGGAAATCCACGTAGCCGTCTGTGGCTCAAGCAACTCAGGATGTTTGGCTCTGCTCAGGTCATCCCTGCCCTCATCGCCGGAGACTCACCCGAGATCAATCACCTCTCTAAGAGAGCCAGGGCCAGCTCTCTGGCCTGACACACTTGGAGTGAGTCTGTGGCCATGATGGCCTTTCTCCTTTCCTTGGTCAACGCCGGTGCCACCCATCAAGGCAATGAATGCTTAGCCCAGCCCTTCACATGGCTGCTCAGCCAGAGCATGACAAGCAGGTCATCAACCTCTGCACTAACCAAATGGAAGACTCTGGGCAAACCCTGGCCTCAGTTTCCCCATCCACAGCATAGAGGCACTTCCAGTCTGACTCACACGGTGGCTTAAACTCACTGGAAATCATGTGATCCAAAAATCCATGGGTTCGAGACATCATAAAGAAAATTCTGGAACATCTACACACACACACACACACACACACACACACACACACACACACACACCATGCTTGAGGATGATCAGTCTTTCTACATCTTTCCATCCTACATTTTTCCAACCTAATGGTTTACTTTGGAGACTGCTATGTCCCTAAAAGAGCCACCTTGCTTTTAATAGCAGCAGAAAACTTCACCCTCTGGACACTTCACCTTTCACCTAACCAATGACACTGGCAACGACATTCCTTGTCATCAGTCTGTAACAAGGTCTTGGCAGTATTTGGGGGTCTGAGGGTCACAGAAGTTACTTAAATTAGAGGAGATGCTAAAGGCTGGGGATGTAAAGCCCGACAGCGTGCTCACCTAGCATGCAAAGGCCCTGGCTTTGATCCATAGTACTACATTAACAGGCATGGTAATACACACACACACCTATAATCCCAGCACTCAGGAGGCAGAGGCAGGAAGATCAGAAGTTCAAAGTCAGACGCGTCTACATGGTGAATTTGAGGCCAGCCTAGTCTACATGAGATGCTGTCTTGAAATAAAAAGATAAAAAGGTTTGGGGACAGAAGTTCCCCCAGCATTTCTATGAGAAAGATCTAATCACGAAGGCCTTTGGGGGCTGGTGAGGGAGAACATATTAGAACAGATAGAGAGAAAAATCCCTCTCATGTGCCAGAAGAGATAGCACCTGCACCCAGGAGTCAGGGATAAGATGACCAAGAAGTTCCTAAGCAGAGCTCAGAGAGAGGGGTGGACTTCCTGATTTCTAACTGAGATCATAGGCACAAAGGGGATTTGAGCCTGAAAAAGAATGGAGTGGCAAACCAGCAACCTCAATGCCAAGCTATAAAAACAAGTTAAGACAAAAGGTGGTGAGCCAGAGCCAAGACTCAGTTTCTCTGGCTGCAGAAAGGGTAACAGTGACATCCAGGTCAGAACACTGCAGGGACAGGAGCTAATATATAAAATTCGGGTGCAGTGGGCTGGGGAAGAGCATGTATCTAGCATGGACAATGTCCTGGATGGATCCATCTACAGCACTACAAATAAAGAAATCTGCTGGGGGCTAGAGAGATGGCTCAGAGGTTAAGAGCACCGGCTGTTCTTCCAGGGGTCCTGAGTTCAATTCCCAGCAACCACATGGTGGTACACAACCATCTGTAATGAGTTATAATGCCCTCGGCATACATGCAGGCAGAACACTGTATACTATACATAACAAAGAAATAAATCTTTAAAAAAAGGAAGGAAAGAAGGGAGAGAGGGAGGGAGGGAGGGAGGGAGGGGGGAGGGAGGGAGAGAGGGAGGGGAGGAAGGGAGGAAGGGAGGGAGGGAGGGAGGAAGGAAGGAAGGAAGGAAGGAAGGAAGGAAGGAAGGAAGGAAGGAAAAGAAGAAAGAAATCTGTTGGTGCAGCACTTGGGGACCAGCCTCAATCTGGGAGTATGGAAAAGTTCCAGGGACAAAACCTGATATTAGACATACTCAGTGCCAACGAGCTACACATGGAAAAAAATGGCCATGTGACTTCTGGCACTTGGTAGCATCTTGCACAGTTGAACTCTCTGCCCCCCACGTAAGGCTGGCTCCTCCCGTTCTGTAAACCAGAGTCTGGAAGGCCAGTCATCTATTCTCTTGCTCATCTGTGCTTGAGTGAGTGATGACACCATTAAGTCATTTGAGCCCCAAGCCTTGGGAGCCCACCCATTTACACAGCAGGGCACAGAGGAATACCCCAGGGCCAGCTTTCACAGCCCCTCAAGACCCTCCTTTTAGCCTGTGGCTCAGCTGAGAGTCACACACCCTGCCCTGAGCTCCGGCTGGGACAGTTGTGAGCCTGCATGGCCAGTTGGGAGCCATGGTGATGTCATGCTTAGCCACTCATTAACTTGTGTCTTTGTTTTCTTCTTCCCCTCTGAGCACTGGAAGATGTTCTAAGAGCCACTAAAAGGCACTGCATGGGGTCTGCTCCCAGGGCCAAGCTCTCAGAGCAGAAATGATTAACAGAATCTTGCTTGTTTACAATAGCGGTTGCCCATCACCAAAGGCACAAGGATTTGTTTTTCTGGCTCTGAAAAGTTGTCTTCTCTGTTAATCTGACCCCCCCCCCCTCCTTGGCTGCCAAGTCTTGTACAGTGTTTCTGACCTTGCTAGCTGCCTCCTCTGGACTCGTTCGCCTCTGCTTGGTTCTGAGTCCCCCAGGGCCCACCCTGACAGCGCCTTCTGAGGAAGGGCTCAGAGGGACGGGTGATAAGGAGTCAGTCTCCAGACCTGATCCCACAGCCTACTTCAGTTTGATGGACTTTTCCTGAAGCAACTGGACCCCCAAGCCCAGGCCACACAGGAGTTTCTCCTGCCTTTCTTGCCTCTCTAGCTGGCTTGAGCCCACAACCCCTTCCCGGCACATATCACAGTCACCCTCCTGGAGTTTCAATATAACCCCACCAAAAGACACACACTTCAGAGAAAGAGACCCACGATCTCCCATGAATCTCCGGGGCACCTGAATTCTCTATGCCTGGCACTGAGCCCCGAGCGTCTCAAATTATACCCATTAAGCAGGATGAGGAAATTGAGGCTCAGAGGGAAGATGATGGATGTGGCCATCGTCACACACAAACGCTACCTCCCCTGAGCTAGATGCAGCTGCTGGCTGGCTGACACCAGCACTCCCTGGAAGTGAATGCCTCTTGTGGAGTCCTACCAGGGAGCTGGGGCAGGAAGTAGGGTTCAGAGCACAGGAAAAGGCTAGGAGGCATGGCTTAGGGCAGAGTCCACACTTAGTGCATGTGAAGTCCTGGTTCCACCCCCAAAGGCAGATGTTACAGGAGCCAGAGGGTGGGGGACAGGCCGGCCTGAATCAGGAGCTGTAGACCAAATGTGGGTTCAGCGTTTCTGGACGTACTTGGGACTGTGGCGGCCTGAACCAAGATAAACACATTCACTGACATTTGTACCTCTGAGTCCTGGCCTTCTGATTCTCATTTATGGCTTGACTTTAGCCACATCCCCCAGTCCCCCTCATCTCCTTGCCAAGGTTACAGCCCAGAGCAATAGGATGGAGTGGCTCCTCCCACTGCCGAGCTGAGGTCTTTCTCTGATTGGCTGAAGTCTCTAATAAGGATGGGTTCTCCCAGAGAGGCTGACCACATCAGCCCCACATCCACGTACCTGGCTGTCCAGTCCAAGCAAGAGGAGCATAATAAAAAACAGAATGGACCAAAAGGTGGGCAGCGGCATCATAGTCACAGCTTTCGGGTAGGCAATGAAGGCCAAGCCAGGACCTAAGGGAGAGAAACGGGGAGGGGGACACAGGAGGACAGACATCAGCACCGTATCACTTAGAGCCCTGGGCCTCACAGAACACTCATGTCTGAGTGAGGAGAGGATCACTTAAGCCCCAAATGCAGGAGGAGCCAGAGAAAGAGACTGGTGGGGCTCGGGAGGGGCCCCAGGTAAGCATCTGTCTCCTATCCAGTACATGGCCTCCTCTCAAATGGATCTAAACCCGTACAGGCACGGGATCCTAGGGGCAGGGAGCAGGATCGAGCCTGTGGCTCAGGAGGCCAGAGACGGAGGAAAAGGAAGAGCCGCCCCTCCCACAACCAAAGCAGCACACTGATGCTGGCTGGAAGGAAAGCCGTGGTTATCTGATTCGTGACACTCTGCTTTGCAAAGAATGCTTTCTATTTTTGAGTTAATGGCCAAAACACTGTTTGAATGGAAAGAAGAAAAAAAAAAAGAAATTTAGAAGCATGCCCAGCAGAGCAAATGGCTCTTCAGGGGCATGCCTATGGGGCCTCTGTCCCCAACAGCTACCCAAGTTCACACAAGGCAAGGTAGAACCAGCCAGGCCTGGCCCTGAGGGGCAGCAACATGGGCAGATGGGTTCCCAGGCCCAGGAGACTAGCCACATCCCAGTCCTCACCCACCACTTTCTCTCTTTTGTGGGTTTTAGTCTCCTCTACCTGAAATATGAGGATCAGGTGGCCCCAGGATCCTTCTGTTCAGATTCTCAGAGGTGGATCCCACTGCCCAGAAAAGGGCTATGGATCCTTATCAACAGGGAGCTCTCGCCAGACCAGGAGGCAGCGAGGGCCAAGAGGTCCGCCCACTCCAAGTGCCTCTCACAGAGTCACTGGAACACAAACATCTCCTGCTTGCAAAAGCCCCCAAGTGGATGCTTCGGGGGACATTATCAAGCTGTACTTGTGGGCTGAAAAGCTAAAGTGAAATCGGCTATGAGAAACAAACAAACCAACCAAGAAGAAATACAGGCCAGACTACAGGGGACTTGAAAGATGTTCTATACTTTAAAGCAAACATCAAAACCGAATGAATGGCTTAAGGAGAGGGAAAAATAAATAAACAAACCAATTTTGCAAAAAAAAAAAAAAAAAAAAAAAAAGCCACCATTTTTTGGAACCAGAATTCACTTAATAAAGCATCAACAAGCGCAAGTGTGGCAGGGAGGGCGAAACTTACAATGCCATCTGAAAAACCCTGCTGAAACAATGACAGGGAGCAGCCAGCCACTGAAGTGGTCAGTAGAAGGGCTGTAAGGGGGTGGGGGCTGGGAGCTGCTTACCAAGCCAGAAGCTGCTTGAATGAGCAAGATGGAGGGGAGAGGGCAGGGTGCAGAACACGTACCTCCCACCCAGGATATCGTGAAACACACTGGGGATTTAGTTAGAACCAAAAGGCATTCTGGTCTCCCTAAACTCCAAAGCTCTGACCCTGCCTGGCCTACCCCAAGAGTGAGGAATCAGGACTAGCCAACTACAAGACAGATGTAAAATGTGGTGCTCCATGTCCCCCACAAAACCTCTGCACCAGACGCTGTGAGCAGACTCAGTTCACTTATTTTTGCCTTTCACTTCAGACTTTCTCAAGCCGGTCTCAGGAGAGGGCCTAAGAACCCTTCTCTAAAATGACAGTGAACTGGGGGAGGGTAGAAGCCAAGAAAACTTAGGCCATTCTGATGCCTGCCAGCACAGCACAGCTATGTCCTATCTAGGCTTCCTTTGGCTGGGCAATACCCTCGTTCGAATGCACTTTTCTTTGTTATAGTGCTCGCTAGAATCTTATGGAGTCACTGTCCCTCTTGCTGTGCTGGCTGCACAGGCATCACTGTGGGGAAGGAGTGACGAAGTCTTGGAAGTGGATGAAAGAAGAAACAACCCGGACTGACCACATACACAGCATGAAGATACCTGTTGTGTACAAAGACCTCCTCATTCTCTCCCCTCCCTAACAAGCTTCCTCTGTGCCCTTGGTGACACCCAGGTACAAGCAGAAAGAGCGACATTTGTAGAGGGGCTGGAAGTGGTACCTAGGCTACATGCCTTGCCATATAACTTGCAACACAGGAGGCTGTGGAAGAAGTTCTTGTGCCCTGAGTCTCTCCTGCCTGTGGAGTCTGAGGACGGGCAGACAGTTCTTCTGAGTGTCCCGCTGGGACATAGTGCAACAGATACACGTGCACAGTGTGGAGTTCACACTGGTGGTGGTGGGGGTCTGAGTTAGAGACTGGCAGCAGGCAGGGATGAGGGGTGTCTAGGTCCGAGGAGCCAGTAGGAAGGGCAAGGGCCACAGTAGAGGGCCCATCAGACACGTAGTGGGCGGGGACTCAGCATCCAGATACACTGCCTGTAGCCCTAGCCTGGCCCAGCCCGCTCAAGCAAGGCTCCTGCTTTGGGGTCCTTGATCTCATCTGAGACATGGCGACACAGTGTCAAAGTACCCTCTGACCTTCCAATATGGGGGCTCAGGACTGGGAAACTGGGAATGACCTTGAGTTTCAAACCCAAGGAGCTCAAGGACAGAGAATGACAGGGACTTCGGGTACCTGGCCCTGGTCTGCAAAAATCCAAAGAATAACAATACACAGTCTGCCCCTATCTCACCCATCCCTGTGGCCTGAAGGAAACCGCAGCCCAGAGCTCTTGGCAGCCTCTAGAAGGTCCCGAGGGGCTGTGGGCCATTAGGTTAGGTTAGACAATACCTTACCATTCTCCAAGAGAACTGGGTGGGGAGGTGGCCCCTGTGGATTTCCACCCCAGAACCCCAGGTTCTACAAGGCTGAGTTGCAGGCTTAGGCCAAGGTCAAGTCCTCAAACCCAGACTTCTGAAACACCATGATGAGGTGGTAGTATTCTAGTTCATGTTGCAGAACAGTCTTTCCTGGAGCTCCGAGTCCCATGTTGCTAAGGAAGGACCCAATCTGTGCAGAGCCCAGGAACCTAACACTGACCACTCATTCTGTGACTGCAGGCGTCTTGAGTAGCAACCTGGGACCAACTGGCCCCCAATCCCTAAGGCAACAGTGTTCTCATAGCCTACCCCCAAATCAGCTCTGTCACAGTCCCTGGGTGGTGTTCCGTCCCTGCCCTCTCACTCCTGGTGACTATGGTGGAGGCTGGGAGGGGTGAGGCTTGGTAAACAGACACAGGAAGGACGGAAGAGTGGATCGGCCCGGTTGGTGGAGCTCGCAGGGAGCAAAGGGCAGACCGCAGAAATGAAGGCTAAGGTGCCAGCAGGGCTGGTGATGGTGTGCTAGCTGTGGCTGAGCCTCAGCTGGACAGCAACTTCCATGGCTAAAGCCAGCGGTTGTTGGGGAAGGATTGGGGGCTGGAAGACCATGACTAAACCAGCCACCAATTCCCATCTCAACCGCCCGTGTTCCACCCACCTTCAGTGGGCCAGGATGCACTGAAACCTTTAAATGTAGTCTTTGTACTCAGGTATGGGGGGCACGTCTTGAGGGGAGAGGGGATGTCTATGTAAAAGCCAGGCTCCCTCCATCCCCCTGGGGTCTGGCTCCATGCCTGCAGTACTCATCTTACACACTAGGTGGCAGTGCCCACCACCACTGCCACCGACACCACCGTACCTGACTCAGCCACATCAGCAATGTCCACCCCTTGCTCTTGTGCCATGAAGCCCAGGATGGAAAAAATTGCGAAGCCAGACACAAAACTGGTACCACTGTTCAGGCATCCCAGCAGCATACAGTCCCTAAGTTACACACACGTCAGGGGGTAAGTTAATCACAACACAAGGAAGCCACGCTCCCTACTTCTCTTTTTCTTTAATCATCATTTCTAACGTTCACCGGGCCCGCCAGCGCGACACTTGCCTGTACGAGTTATACTTGTACTTGTTGTAGCTTCCCAGTGAGGTCATGGCCCCCAGGCAGATGGCATAGGAAAAGAATATCTGGGTTCCGGCGTCGATCCATACCTGTGAGGGAGGGGAGGAAGAGCACTAGGGTGAGCACAGGGATGGGAGGGGGCTGGCAACGGGAGGATTTTTGACCAACAATGACAAGGTCTACATGGGGATCCTCAGTGTTGATAGAACCCCAGAAGGCAGAGCCAGGTGCCTCTTCTCTGTGCATCAGCTAAAAGACCAGACTTTAACTCTGGGGTGACCAGTACCACTCCAGTAACTTCGGTATTTGTATTTACAGAATGTGCCCCTAACATAACTTTCCACACTCAGTACAACGTGATCTTTACTCCGTCCACTCCGAGGCTGTCACAGCCTACTCCTAGGTCAAGGCTGCTTTGACGGCTGTCAGGGAGCTGAAAGGCAGGCTTCATTTCTCCAGCCACTATCCCAGCAGCCATGGAAGGCGGCACGCCTACCTTCCCGGCTCGCAGCTCAGGCTGGCCACCAACCCTGCTCTAGGGGATCAGAGACCCAGAAATGCTGGCCCCTGGGAGGCAACTGGAGAACTTGGGATCCTGGGACAAAGGTCTCAAAAGGCACACAAAAGCCTCCTGGGTTTCACCAACTCCTGACGCCCTTCAGCTATGTGCTGGGATGGGGGGGGGGGGGACTTATAATATGACCCTCTTAACTGCCAACAATCCTAAGTCTCTCTCTCCCTCATCTGAGGATGCTGCCCTGAATACGGAGTCTCTAGTCTTGGCACAGGCGGAGCAGGAGCCCCTGCCTTAGCCAGTGCCATGCCTGAAGCCAGAATGGCCCAGTGGAAAAGTACTAGGCAGCAACTCTTGGCTACACCTGGGCATTAAAGAGCCACAAGAAACACTGCCACCTGCACCCTGAGTACCACCCTACCATACCTGTGGGTCTTCGAGGCGGCTGATGTCAGGGTACAGGTAGAATTTGATGCCTTCACCAGCACCTGGCAGGGTCAGTCCACGGACAAGCAGCACCAGAAGCATGGCAAACGGGAAAGTGGCGGTGAAGTAGACAACCTGGAGGGGCAAGAGGGGGTCAGGTAAACCTATGAGGCTGCAAGGACTCTGCAGACACGTTGGTGGTCTCAGCTGCTGTTGCTTAACCTCTCTGAGCCTCTGTCACCTTTCCTAAATAGGCTATAAGAATCTAACTTATAGATGGAAAAAAAATTAACTCCTGTGGATAATTTGCATAGCTCACCTAAGCTCAGAACTTAAAAAAGCAGGCAAGATGGAAAACAAATCCTCCCCGCTTGGAAGAGCTGATCCCTAGGAGACAAACAAATACGGACAGTGTATAACTGAGAGTCACCTATCAGGGGTATGGTCAACAGCCCAGTAGCTGTCACATGGCACCCGGCACACACTGACCACCATGACACTGTCAGCGCGACACTGGGGTGAAGAATCAGAGGCCTGGAGAGATTACTCAGTGGTTGAGAGCACTAGCTGCTTTTGCAGAGAACTGAGATCAGTTCCCAGCACCCACTGGGCAGCTCGGGACTTGAGTTCCAACGGATCTCGTACTCTCTTCTGGCTAACATAGGCAACAGACACATACATGTAGGCAAAATATGCACACACATTAAAAAAAAAAAAAGAACCAGGTGTGGGTGCACACCTGTAGTCCCAGCACTCAGGAGGCTGAGGCGGGAACGTTCAGGGCTGCCTGGGGATATAGTGAGACAAGCGGCTCCTCAGCTCCAGTTCTGGGCCTTCTCCTGCTAAGAGATGCAGGACACAATGATTACTCTCCCTGGGACTCGGTTTCTTCTCTGAAATGAGGGCAAGAGTCACAGCAGCCCTTGTCAGGGGATGGATGAGGATTGACACAGTCAGACGATAGCAAATGATTGTCAAGACACAGCCTGCTTAACCGTGACTTGAGAGGAGGTGGGTAGGAACTTCTCTAAGGTCATGGCCAGCTTACAGGAGACCCATGAGGTCACACTGTGTGTCCTAATAGGCCAGGGTCAGGGGTAAGGAAGGGACTGCCTGGTCCCATGAGCTATCTGGTCATGCTACTGCTGGGCTGTTAGCCTTTACAGGGGGCAGGTGACCTGAGGGAAGCCATCACTTTCTAGGGAGTCAAGCACCTTGGAGGGGAACTCAAGCACAGTGCCTGGCAACTGGTGGCCACTATCCCTCTCTAGACTTGGTCTCCCCCATCTCGAGGTGAGAGCCTTGGACTGGATAGGCTTAGGTTCCCAGCTCTGAGGCTGGTTGGCCCAGAGGGTCCCCTGGAGCTATCACCCATCTGTCCTACCGTCTGCAGGGAGTGTCTGGAAATGCTCAACAACCCGAACGGTGGTGGCTGGTGGCATCCTACAAGGCGGAAGGCCCTCTCTTGCCTGACACCCCTCCCTGGATGTCTTCCCTCCTCCGGGCCGTGGTGTCCCCCAGTCACCCTTGTTTCTTTTTCCCTTGATGGACAGACGGACACCTGGGACAAAGGCCAGTCAGGAAGCCATTGAAAGGGTAAAAAAAAAAAAAAAAGAAAAAGAAAACCCTGCCTGTCCCCTCCCTTCCTGTAGATAGGCGGGCAGCACCCCTGGCCAGGTCCCCTCTCTGAGGGCCTGCAAGGCCACACCCAAGTTGGTAAACAATAGCCACACACAGGAGTCCCTCAGGGGTCCCCAGAGAGCTACCACTTCAAAGCAAGTGGACTGCAGCCAGAATCACTGGTGAGCTCGTGGGGGAGGGGGGCTCCCTGACTTGCCTCTTTAACAAGCACATACGTGATGCCTACCATGTGTTGTGAACTTAACACCAAACCAGGATGAGCTTAGGAACATTGCCACCTGCCCTTTCCCTTGCGAGGACACTGAGGCCCACACTGGCCAATGTCACCTGCCTGGAATCCCCAAATAGGAGGAGGTGTCAGCGGTGGGATCTGATCTAGGCCAAGTACTTTTGGGGCTCCCATATCTTCAGGAGTGTTACTGTTGTTGACAGCCCTGTCCCGCTTCTCCAGCCATCTCTCCAGAAAGCCACCCTTGTTTGCAGCCTCTGCTGCTCCTTGGATGAGCCTGGGAGCCCTTCTCTCAACTTTTCCGTGACCGTCCCTTGGGATGCTCCAGGGAGAGGCTGGTGCCAGGCGCCACCATGGGCCCCTGACGGTGGCCCAGTAGGCCTTGCTGTGGGACGTGGTATTTTTCCACTCCTGTTGCTGATTCTCCACAACTCCTCTGAGCTCCGGGCGAGAGCCCTTGAAGAAAATGGAGACTTAGAGGGCACCTCACCCACAGCACACTGGAAGCTAGTGGGCTCAAGAGGGAGCTAGCTTCCAGCCTCCTGATATTCAACTTTACTTGGGAGCAGATGGCCTGGGCATCACGAGTCATTCAATCAATCATTCGCTTGACACCAGGGGAAACTGAGGCTGAGCAGGTGAGAGGGATTTTCAAAGTCATTCTGTGTGTAGGAGCAGAGCTGAGACCAAACCCAGGTCAGGCACTGTCTGCCCTGGAGAGTGACCACAGACCCAGCCGTGCACAGGTCCAGGCCCTTCCTGGGTGAGTGTTGGCAGGCTGTGTCCTTGTGAAGACAAACACGAACATGCCTGGCTTCTGCTTCACTGCACCTGCAGCTCAGCACAGGGATGAGGCTGAGAGTGGGGAGAAGGGAGCTGTCTTGAGTTCAAATCCCAGTTTGGCCTCTGATGAGCTGTGTGGCATTGGGAAAGTTAGTTAAGCTCTCTGAACCTCAGTTTCCATTGTACAGGATCGAAGAACTTCTGGAGGATTAAAAGAGCTGCCATCCAGCACTGAGAGGTCATGTGAACACCCCAGGTACCTGGCTTGTTGAAGAAGTAAGACTGAGGCTGAGTCTGGGACCGATTTCAGACCCTCAGAGTTGGAGAGGCCAAAGCCAAGCACCTGAACTTGGGTTCTGGGGCATCTGGGGCCCAGGCCCCCACCCATCACCCTCCTGTCTCCTGGACTAAGTTAGCCACAGAAGCAGGCTTGGCCAGGACAAGGGCTCAGCCCCCATGGCTGGGAGCCTGGTCTGCAGCCAGGGCTGGAAGCTGAAGCCAGCCAGCGGGTGGGCTTCTGGACGGGTAGGCGGGCAGGCGGACGGACGGTCTCTAAGGGCCTCTCAGCATTGAGCTGGAGGAAGTCCACAGAGCTGTTTGTCTTGGCTTCTTTGACCCATCAGGCCTACTATTGTTCTAGGAACCGCGCGTGCCCCACAGAGCAGGGTGTAGCTCAGGGTAGGTTTGGGGGTGGTTTTGGGTTGGGGGGGGGGGGGGGGGGGGGGGGGGGGGGTTGGTGGGGTGGGGGGGGGGGGGTGGATGGGACGGACTTTGGCCAGTCTATTTTCACAGGAGTCTCAGATGCAGCTTGGTACCCTTTATTTGGCCTTGGATCTGTCTCCTTCGTAGTGTGCTGTGTCTCAAATATTGCTGACTGGTAGACATCAACCTCCTCCATCAGACTGGGGGCTTCCTATATCCTGGTCAGATGCACAACAGGTCATTTCCACTGACCATTGCCTCTGCCTGCAATATGCCCCTCAGATACTCAACTCTCCACACCTCGCTCATCTTCGTTCGGTCACCTCAGTGACCCTTGCCTGGCTCACCTATAAAAGAACCTTACACTGCTTTCTTCTGTCCTGTAACCCTTGGCACCCGTGTCCCATGCTCAACTCTCTGCAGCCCAGCTTTTCCCAGCCAGCCCCAGATGCCGCACACCGTAGATCCCCTCACCCCGTTTCTAAGACAGGAGGCTCAAAGGACATCAGTGCACCCCTGAACACGGCTGGTGCTCTCCAGCACGCTCAGCACCAAAGCTCCTTGGACACTCGCTTCTACGTGGAGAAACTGGGGCAGTGGGCAGAAGGCAATTGGTGCTTACTCAAGAGAAGGGGTCAGGCCCACTGGGCCACAGACCTAAAGTACTGGGCATGCTTCCCTCAACCCTCATGTTCACTGTTCAACAGCCCAGGGGACAGGCTCGGGGGAGGGGCTGCTCTAGGACAAGCTGCCTGACTTCTTCTGAGCCTCAGTTTCCTCACTGTTTAGAGGAAGGCAACGTATGAACTCCCAGGACTGCGGGTGAGAAGGGAGCACAGTAGACAGGGTCCTAAGGAGCCAGGCGACACCATGTCAGGTTCTCTCTCTCTGCCTGTCCTATGAGATGATGCTAGCAGGGTGTGGTCCAGGTCTGGCTGACTTCCCTTCAGACTGAGGTTCAGTACAGCGGAGGGCTCTGCACCCCAGTACAGAGATAGTGATACAGGGCAGCTAAACAGCCTTGCTTCAACATCTGTCCTAAACCGGGGGTGGGGGGGAGGGTTGTCGGCCCGCTTTGCAAAGCTAGGTTGCACACTGTGGGCTGATGGATGGCCACAGTCTGGCTGCCAACTGGCCTCTGGCTCAGTGAGCCTTGCTCATCATACCAACATCAGGGAACAGGGTGACCGCATACCTGGCTGCACACCAGTCACGAGGTCACTAAGCCCCCGACACCACACGGGGCTATGTGCCTGCCTGTCAGAGCTCTCCTGTGTCCCAACATGGGCCCTCCTCCAGGGGTAGAGCTCCCTCCGCGAGGAGAAGCTTTTCGCAGTACAGCTATCCCTGACGCAGGGGACAGGGGTTCACTCACCTTGCCTGTGGATCGAACACCCTTCCAGATGCAGAAAAAACAGACGAGCCAGACTAAGAGGAGGCAGAGTGCAAGGTCCCATTTCAGAGCACCTGGGTGGTCGATTCCAGAGGACAAGCTGAGCACATTACGCCTTTGGGGAAAGAGAACAAGAGGTCAGGAGCTGGGGGGCCGCCTGGCAGCAAAGCCAGCATGGGCAAAGTCCTAGGTTCTGTCTCCAACAAAATAAAATACAAAATGTTCATTTTCATTCTAGCACCAGGGAGGCTGAGGCAGGACTGCCTCGAATCTGAGGCGGGCCTGGGCTCCATAGTGAATTCCGGGTCAACCTGGACCACAGAGTGTGACCTTATCTCAAAAATAAGTAAGCAAGTAAATTAATTAATTAATTAAAGCAAGATAAATCAGCACCTGTCCACGTCTCCGCAGAGACATCTCAGTGCTAGCCCCCACCCAGGCACCGCATGTGTGTAGCTTGGGACCCACTTGTCAGGAAGACAGTTGGGACTAGGACAGCAAGGCAGCCAAGAAACTGCAGAATCCTTATAAGGTGACCTCAGCCTCAACCCAGCCAGGCTATGGGCAAGTCCAAGTCTCCATTTCCTCCTTTGTAAAATGGATACTGGTTTGTGTGGTGAGAAGGCTCAGCCTGTAAAGAAGCTGTGGCCAAGCCTGCTGTGATCTGGGGCCTGCATGGAGGAAGGAAAGGACTGACTCTTTCAGGCTGTTCTTTGGCTTCACACACACACACACACACACACACACACACACACACACACACACGATGTTTTTTAAGTGGAGAATGATTATCTGCAGGACATGTGGACAACGTTCAATTTCAACTGTAGGCCAAACACAAGGTTTTAATCTCCGCTTCTGTCCAGTTGCTAACCTAGGCGAGCTACCTAACCACCCTAGACCTCTGTCTCAGTATGTAAATGGGGGTGGATCCCCCTCTCAGTACCTTTTGTCCTAACTTCCTTGATTTAACTCTGACTTTTATCTGGGGATGGTGGCACACACCTGTAATCTCTGGCTGAGGCAGAAGGATTACGAGTTCTGGGTCACCCAGGGCTACATAGTCAGATCCTGTTTCAAAAAAAAAAAAAAAAAAAAAAATTAAATCAATGGAAAACAAAAAACTAACCCTGCATGTTATCTAGATTGTTCTCAAAGTATAAGCCTAAAAAAAAAGGCAAAGTGGGTTCTATATGGGCGCAAGGTACCCATCTTGTGGAAGTAACTCATGAGGAAAATACCACAGGAATGCCCAACACCACACCAAAGTCTGGAGGTGGCTGACCCCTGACACACCTGATCACATGACTGCAGGACAAGCATGCCCACAGAAGTTGCTGGCATATAGCGGGTGCTCAAGTAGTGCTGGCTTCCTCCCTCTTTCCCTGCCAGAGTTTTGGAGCTCTCTGGAGGAGGCAGGTCTATAACTTTCAGGACAACACCCAGGGAGAAGAGGCTGCTAACCTGCTCAGAGTCACACAGAGGAGCTGGGGTCTGTGGAGAGACCTCCAGACATCTTTGTCACCTGGCCCCTCCCCGCAGGAAAGGAACCAGAGGAGGCAGTGCAGGGTGCTCACAGCCAAGATGACCATGAAACCTGCGGCCCAGGTACACTGTGTCCTGCAGCACCCATGCTGAGCATGCAGATCTCGCTCTTCTCCAGGCCTCCAGGTTACATGCCACCCAGGCTTTGAGCTGCCAACCACAGCAGAAAGAACACAGGGCCCCACACTCCAGGAGAATCCCAGACAAAGCCAGTTCTTACAGTTGCAGGCAGGTCCCTGTCCCAGGGCACCCTCTGAACAGGTGGAGACTATACAAGCCTCAGTTTGTAAACAGGTAGTGCCAGCTTCTGCCCAGGGTGCTACTTGGGAAAGCATTCTAGGATGTTCTAAGCTTTCAGTGAGTTAATGGAACCCCACAGTCAGGAAGCCAGCTGGGTCTTAATACCCTCTGAACCAGGACCTTTTGGCCTTTTTCCTCCCGAAATGCCTCAACATAGGGATTTTGAATAAATTCAAGGATCCTTCTCAATTGGCCTTCAAGCAAAATATTTGGCCCACAGTCATTGTTCTCAGGACCCAGGATGACACCTAGGACACCGCAGGATCCATCAAACACCCATGGAATAAATGAACCACTCAGGAGGAGAACCAGGTCTCATACTACTGGGTCCATGCAACAGGAGGAACCCCCAAGCCTAAAGGAGAGGCAACATCAGTGCCCCTTACCATGTGGCTGGAAGAGTGTGATTGACACACAGGAGACAGAAGCCGGCAGAATCTGACTACTTCTTGCCTTTTCCATTGATCTCAAGTCAATTCATGGGGTAGAACTCATTCACCGCATTTCACAGATGGGAAAACCAAGGCTTGAAGGGTCAATTTGCCCACACTGGCAAAGCCACTAAAACTCCAGGCCTGCCTGCGTCCCAAGGCTCTCCCAACTCCACAACAACATGTTCTGATTTTAAAATAAGATAGCGCCTGCTTTTCAGAAGGACCTCCAGGGCGTTCTCGCTCCCCAGCCATCTTGGCGACTGGTCTTGGTTGGGGGCCGTCCCGCACCTAAGGCAGGATGATGGTGGCTGCAAAGAAGACAAAAAAGTCTCTGGAGTCGATCAACTCTAGGCTCCAACTTGTTATGAAAAGTGGCAAGTCTGCCCTGGGATACATACAGACTCTGAAGATGATTAGACAGGGCAAAGCGAAATTGGTTATCCTCGCCAACAACGGCCCCATTCTGAGGAATCACAAATAGAATACTATGCCATGTTGGCTAAAACTGGTGCCCATCACTACAGTGGCAATAACATTGAATTGGGCACAGCACTACGCTACAGAGTATGCACACCAGCTATCACTGACCCAGGCGATTCTGGTATTATGAGAAGCATGCCAGAATAGACTGGCGAAAGCAAACCATGAAAGTTTTCCTTTAATAAAACTTTACCAGAGCTCCTTTAAAAGAAAAAAGAAAAGAAGGAGGAGGAGGAGGAAGAAGAGGAGGACCTCCAGGTGCTGGAAGGCTGGCTCAAAGATTAAGAGCACTGGCTGCTCTTACAGAGGACCTGGGTCCAATTCCCAGCACCCACATGGCAGCTCACAACCATGCATAACTCCAGTTCCAGGGGATATTGCACCCTCTTCTGATTTCTGGGGCATTAGACACACAAGTAGTACATATATGCACACAGGCAAAACACCTATAGATATAAAATACAATTAAAAATTTAAATAATAAATGAAAGGGCCCTCCAGCCCTCCACTGAGCTGGAATCATCTGGTGGCTCAGGGCGGCATCCTAGGGTACCTTCACAAAGCAGGCTAACAGCCAACCACATGCAGCTGGGCCCCTGCCAAGCTGAGACCTGGCAGCACCACAGAACAAAAAGCCCTTCCCATTCAACATTCAGCACTTGGGTGCCAGCCATGGAAGCTCAGAGGACAGGGAGAAATGGCCCACACTAGTGTGAATGGGCCACATCAGGGGAGAAGAACATGGCCCCTTTTCACACCTTCACACATGCAGCCTTTTCCCTGGCCTGCCCTCTGTCAGTGTGCCCGCTGCAGCTGATGCTCCAGGGGTCTTGCTGTAGCACCCATCTAACCCGCTTCCCTTCCCTGCCAACAACAGGCTGACATAGTCTACTCAATTAATGATTGGCCACGAAACCGCCATGCCGCTCTGTTCTTTGGGGCAATCCATCATGAAGTCCTCCAAAGTCAGATCCTGCTTGTCCTGAGAGCCCGCCCCATCCAGGTCATGACTCCCTTTCTACCGATTCCCACCACCCTGCTAGGCAAAGCCCAACAGTGCCCACTGCTGCCAGGCACTGCCAAGTAGAGTTCCTTTTGGCAGCCGAAACAAGCAAACTGAGTCCTTTTATCCTTCTGCTACTGGGGACAGTCGCTGCAAAGTGGCATCCACTGACATTTCAAGGTGGATTTTCCCTGACCCAGTAGCTAGCTCCATTTCCAAGGCTATCTCCTATCATTCTACCAGCCTGGGTGCCCACAGACAAAGCATTCAACAGGAAGTGGTCCGGGTGCCCCTCTATAGGGTAGAGCAAGCCTTGGGGCAGGCTCGTGTCAAGTTCTTGATGTGCGGATAAAGTAGCATAAAGGACTGAGTGAGCCCAAGAAGAGCTGCTGTGATAGGGAGAACCAGAGCATACACCAGTAAGCAGGCACTGGGGACTGGGACTCAGCAATAAATGCAGCGATTTTGCTGTGTGAGTATTCATATGTTCATAAATGTAAATATACATATACACACATTATAGACTTTGGGGGGCGGTGTTGAGACAGGGTTTCACTATGTAGTCCTGGTTGTCCTGGAACTCGCCTTGTAAACCAGGCTAGCCTTGAACTCACAGAGTTCCGCCTGCCTTGGTCTCCAGAGTACTGGGATTAAAGGTGTGTGCCACCCCTTCACCCCACCCTAGCTAGACATTTTTTTTCTGAGACCGAGTCTCACATAGCCCAGGCTGGCCTTCAACGGTTGATCTTCTTGCCTCCACCTGAAATTACGCAGTATTGAAGTCATCAGACTTCACATAACTTGCCAGGGCCATAAAATGTCCTAGGAATAGAAGGAGTAAGTCTGTTAATTAGGCTCTGACAGATGGGGGGGGGGGGGCGGGAGAGTAGTCAGAGGGACCGTCCACTAGTCCTCTCTGTGTGCTCCCTCCAATGAGGATTCACGGATCCCCTGGGCCTTCTCACTGCACGAGTGCATGCCTGAGGTTGCCACACCCTCGTGGGTGCCTCCTAAACACCTGCTTCCCCCATGATGCCCTGCTCAAGCCCTACTTTACCCCAAAGTCACTACAGCAACTTCTTCCCAGCCTACTAAATTCTCTGCACTTGTCAGAGGGACCCCACAGTATCTGTGAGGCCAGCTCACATCCTTGGCTCCACATCCTCCCATGGCTCCAGCCTCCCTCCTAACATGTCCCTCTCACCTTCCACTCCAATGTTGTTGCTTTAAAGAATGCAGGGAGTACCTAACAAGAAGACTAGAGTAGCAAACAGACAGGAAGCCAGACATCATGGGTGTAGAGCCATCCACTCTATCTCCCTTCCTCACCTGCCCCTTGACTTCTTCCTCAGGGGCGGAGTGTGGTCCCTGAACTATTGCTTCTTCAGCTACGGTTCCGCCATTCACAGACAGTCTCTTTCCCGGTTTCTGTTCTGATTCACTTTTCCCAGAGGCAACCATTATTCTGGGACACCCTTCATCAAGAGCACCCCAGCCCTCTCCTTCCCCGGCGCTGGTTCCGCTGTCCGCACTTTCCCATTCTGACCTTCCTTTCTGACTGGTTGATATGTCTGTCTTACTAGAAAGCTCCGTGCATGTGGGCCCTGCATCTCTCTGAACCACAGCACCCAGTACATGATTAGGTGAAAGAATTCACTATAGCCATTTGGTAGATGGGGAAACTGAGGCTCAGCCTCCCATTGACCCTAGGCGGAAATCAAGCCTAGGGCTGATTCCTTTTCTCTGATGCCCTCTGGGGCACATCAGTGTGTCTCTGGCCAGGGCTCCCAGCCTTGAGTTTTCCAGTCTCTTCCAGAGGTAAGCTGCAGATCTTTTCCAAGAAAAGGACCACATCTTGCCAGGATGGGAACTAAAAAATTGTGGCCGGCCTGGACGCGTGTTTGCAGCCGGCTGCCCTGCTGCCGTCCAGTCAGTACTTGGAGATGTAAATTCATCCTCAGAGTGGGCCAAATCGTTTCCTTTTGACTTCAGGCCAGCCGTTTATTGGCCGCAGCCGTCCCCTGGAGACTGGCAGAGGCAACAATTATAAAAGAGCTGCCGCCGGAGCATGGGGCCCCCACACAGCCCTTCCCGCACTACCTCCTCCTTCCGACAGCTCCGGAGGAGATTGGCTGAGCATGGCTTGTGTGCAAATATGACTCATTTCTTTGATTCTAATAGAATCTAATGATCCATGCTGGGCTCCCAGGGGGCCCTGCAGGAGCCTCGGAGGAAGGCCTGGCTCCAGTCTGCTGAAGGGCGTTAGGCCAGACCAGGCCCCGCCTGTCTTCCAAGGCCTGTGGGGGGAAGCAGGAGGTTTGGGGACAGAGGTGACCTGAGAGGGGGAGGTCCAGTGGGGATGAGGCTGTAGGGGCAGAAGTTCTGTGGTTCCACCATGCAGCCACTAAGCATGCCCTGACGCCAATGTAAAATGTCAGTCTCTGGGGCCGAGTGGCTTCTCACAGGAATTGCAGAGGCTAAGAAGGTGCTTAGCTTTGCAGACAGGGTTAAGTATGGCAGGGACAGGCTGAAAGAGGGTCCCAAGCCTGACCAGAGACAGGAGAAATACAGATGTGCACGCACACAAGCAGTAGAGCATGTGACCTGTGATCATGGACTTGGCTCCAAAGCTTGTCCTGTGCCACATGGGTAGGAGATAGAGTAGAACACAGATAAAAAGTTCCCTCAGGGTGGACCTGTGGGTGCTGGGTTCCCAGAACCCTAAGCACATAGCTTGCCCAGGTTCCTTAAAGTCAAAGAGCAGATGTGAGTGCTGGGGCCAGGCTAACGCTGGCTCGCACAGCATAGAAGGACGAGTCGAGCTTGAGTTCCAGCTGCCCTGACCTTAGAGGCCTGGGACATGTGGGAGCCACACAGGGGAGGGGAGTTCCCCTCTGAGGTCCTCCTGCCTCCATGGTAACCAGCAGAAGGGAGGGGTCACGGGGTAGCTGACAGAGTCCTCTAGTGATCAGAAACTGGGGGAGGCTCTGCTCCCACCATGCCTGTTACCTTTGGCTCCCAGACCTCCAGATCTGGTTCAGGTAAAGAAAGAAGGGAAAACTGCCTGGTCCTGGGCCAGTGCTCAGTGAGCATTGCTGTACCCGCTCATTCCTCTCTGACAGGGTAAGACCACAGCTTGGGAAAGGCAGGGATGGACCAGAGCTTCAAGGAAAAGGCAGGGAGCAACCAAGAAGCCACGTGTCTTTTACCTGCACAGTCGAGTCCCTCAAGAGGCGTGGCGCACACAGGGAGGGTGGCTGGATTCTGAATGCATGATGGAGGGCCAGTAGGCTGCACATGGAATGTGAGGAGGAGTGTCCCCCTTGCCATACTCTTTTCCCTACTTAAGAAACCTCAGGGGCCAGCAAGAGGGCTGACTGGATAAAAGTTCTTGCCGCTAAATCTGACGACCTGAATTCAGTCCCTGGAACTCATGTAAGGACATAAGGAAAGAACTGGCTCGACATAGTTGTCCCTTGACCTTCACATACGTCATGATGTGCATGCCTCAACCCTCCTAAAATAAATTAAACGGAGGAAGAGGAGGAGGAGGAGGAGGAGGAGGAGGAGGAGAAGCCTTTGCATCAACACCTCATTGCACCCACCCTGTCACCCTCCTGATGGCTGCTTCAAGTCCAAGACAAGGGAGCTTCTTGTAGGCAGGAAGCCCTTACAGACTTGGTGATGCTCTTGCCCACCCCATTTTTGCACACAGGCTCAGCAGACGGCTGCCCCGAGGCCTCACCTCAACCTGCTCTGTGGCTCAGCTCAGTGCACCCCAGGCTCAGGTGCTGTGAATGCTAAGGTATTCTCAGAGGTTCTTCTAGAATTCAAAGTCAGGTCAAGATACTGTGCAAGCCAGTGTGGGTAGAAGCCGGCACCCCTTGGGCACAGCATACCCACAGACACTGTGGAAGAGCCTGCAAAAAAGCCAGTGGAACCGGGCATTTCCCTTAAGTCTCGGTGTCTCCGAGTTTTCCTGACGAGAAGCAAAAGCCAAGAGCTCTGCGCAGGACTTCTAGAATACAGGGGTGCTGGAACAGGCTCAGGCTGTGGATGTCTGAGGAGAAGGCAAGGGGCTCTGAGCAGGGTTCTTCCAAGACTCTCATGCCACAGTGACGGGTGCCAGGCAAAGGCAAAAAGAGCATGACTCTCTTACCACCAGAGCCTGTGGTCATTTGAGGGGGCCACATGCAGATTCTAAATGCCCCCAGAAGGGACACTTAACCATAGTGATGATGTAACATGAACAGTACCCTGAGTGAGAGAACAGCTTTTCAGGGTGACCAGGCAGGGGTTCATCCAGCTAGGACTGCAGTATAGCGCTTAGGACAATACTAGGGTCATCCCAGGTATAGACACTGAGGCCCAGAGAGGAGACCGCATCTGCCCAAGACAGATGTGGCATCATGAAGGTTCAAACCTAGGAGGTAATGAGGTTCAGCAGATACCTCAAGGCTGGCCAGGTGCCAGAAGCCTGGGAGGGGTAGCCCTGGTAGCTGTGCCATGCCAAGAAGAGCACAGAAAGGCCAGGGCTCGTGGCCTTGGGCCCCTTCAAGGAAGAGTGAAATGCCAATATTCCTTTGTTTTAAAAGCTCAGCTCTCTGAAGGGTGGGGAACCTACTTTTAACACTCCCTTTGTTTGCTAGTGGAAAACATACACATCAGAATACCCAAAGTCCCCAAAGCCCAGAGCCCTGCCTGTGTAGTACAAAAGGCGTAGGCACGGCGCAGGCCACCCAAGGAAGGCCACCTCCTGCAAGTAAGAAGAGCTGACCCATCCTTGTAGGCATCACAACGCATCTCTCTCCTGATGGTCCCTAGTTTGGCTTCCTTGAAGTAGGATAACACCTCAAAGGCAGCCACTGTCCACCAAAGAGAAGGATTCTCATCCCACGGTAGCCTGGGTCAGGCTTTTGTCTGCCTTGGTTCTCAGCTGCACAAGAGACCTTATCTCAGTCATTTCCAGAGGCGAGAGGCTGCCCCTGACTGAGCACCCTGAGTTAAGAGCATTTGCTTACAAGGGAAGTGATGCACTGAAGGGTTTCTAATCAACTTCCATGACCTGTTAGGATGTCCTGGAACACAGGCTCGTGAGAGTCCTCCAAATGCCATTAGTACAAGGAGATATCTGCGTGCTGTTCACGTTAGGGCCTGCCCGTCTGTTGCTTCTAAGCTGTCTATGGCAAGCTGAAGGGGAAAGACTGGTGATGAGATCACCCAAGTCATCTACTCCTAACACCCTCTCCATTGCGAGGCCAGCCACAAAAGTGACCCATGGACACATGAAGGAGCCCAAGAGCAGACCTTCCAAACTGACAACAACCCAAACTGGCACCAAGTAGTCGTGAGTTCAGCAAACAGTGCTTGGTTAAAACCACCATGCTTGGGAATGGCTGTTACACAGTATGAGCTAACTAACTGATATATCACACACACACATATAATTTTACTATCAACTCACCTTTTCTCTGTGATAATAAAATGTTTTCCCCAAAATATATTAAGAAAATTATAACTTTCAAACACATGTACACCTATATTTGGAGAAAATTCTCTCACAGGAATCCCATGGGAAAAGAATGATACATTTTCCTCATTTGACAGTTAAACTAAGGCTCAAAACTTGCCTTTCAAAAGCAAATAGCTTTTAGGTGGTACACTGAGATTCAATTCCATCTTGTATGAGACAGAGGCACAGCATTAACTCCAGCGGTGTGTTTTCCTTCCCTCCAGACAGGGTCTCCCACAGTCAAGAAGATGCTGTCCCCTTAAGACCTGCCGATGCCCCTCCTCTTTCCCATGAACTTACTCCCAGAACTCGATGACAGGCGAGGTGAAGTTGGTGGCCCCAAGGGAGATCCAGAGACTCTCATTCCTACGCAGGGTGTCCTCCATGCACTGTGGTGTGTTCCAGCTGTGGTTGCAGTGGGCCCAGGGAAGCTCCTTCTGGAAGGACTGGAATAGGTAGTATGTGGCCCAGGCCAGGATGACAATGTAGTACACATTCAGGAGGGACACGATGACGATGGATGCGTAGCCAATGCCTATGGGCAAGGCAAGCAAAATGGACACGTGTCAAAAAAGAGGCACATCCAACTGGGAGGCACTGGTATGCTAGGCTGTGGGTCAAAGGAGCCTTCTCAACAATAAGCAGAAGATAGTCACAGGGTGAAGGAGTAACTGATGACGAATAAGGCATGTGAATGAGTGGTCAGGGAAGTGGTGGCGGGACAAATCACAGGAATGAAAGTAGGGACAAGACAATAATGGTGCAGTTGGACTGTTGGATGGGTGGACAGAAACATGGATGAAGAGAAGGATGGATTTTTCTATAAAAATAGGTGGATAGAAATATAGATGGACAGATGGACGGTAGATGGATAGAAATATGGATGAATGAATTAATAGAAACATGGATGGATAGATTGGAAGGATGGGTAGATGAATAGATAAATGAAAATATGAAGGGAAACAGGATGGATGGATGGATGGATGGATGGATGGATGGATGGATGGAAACAGATAAGAAGACAGAAATATAGAAGGATGGATAGATAGATGGAAAGACAGGTTGATGATAGATACAGACAGAAAGGAAGGAAGGAAGGAAGGAAGGAAGGAAGGAAGGAAGGAAGGAAGGAAAATGGATGGAAGAAAACATGGATGGATGGGTGAAAACATGGATGGATGGTTGGATGGAAACATGGAGAGATGGATGATGGATGGTTGGATGGATAGAAATGAATGGATGGATGCAAAGAGTTAAATGAACGGACTTTATATTCATATTTGAATGTACATTTGTTGTATATATAGTCTAATTCTTGACGTGTACATATGGTAGTTGGTTGGAAGGCTGGATAGATGGGAGAAAAGGAGATGGAGGGCCTAATTGTTGAGTGACTTATTGGGAGAAAAAAGTAGTAGGTAAGTATTTATGTGGGTGACTGAAGAAGGGACTCGTATTCCCATTCCTCCCGCTCCATCACATGTCACTCCAAGTATACACTAAGTACCAAGCACACATGAAGCCACCATCAATAGAGTGCTGGCCACACACACAGAACATTCAGACATGACTGTCATTGTCTTCACAGCAAATAGAATGAGGAATTGAGGCTCAATGAAGCCCCTAAAACCACCCCAAGGAGAGAAGCAAGGCCTGAACCCAGACAGTCCTCCAGATTCCTGCATTTTGAGAGAGCTGCCAACTCACTTATCCGAACACCCACAAAGGTGACCCCAAAGGAACTTTCTGAGCAGCCAGAAACCTGCTGTATCTCCCTTCTCCCTGCCTCTTGGTGACAGTGACATCACAACATGCTGCTGCCCTGCATCTGGCACTGATACATGTGAGGAGATCTGATAAACCCAGAAGATGGCAGCTGTCACTAAAATCCTGGTGATCTAGGTGACCCTGGCTACATACTCACCAGAGAACAAGGGGCAGATCTTCTCCCAGCAGGTGATACCCCCTTCTGAGGTGTACTGGCCAATGATGACCTCCAGGAAAAACACAGGCAGGCCGCTCCCAAACAGGAAAATAAAATACGGTATGAGGAAGGCACCTGTCAAGTGGGCAGAAGGGAGAGGGTGAAGCCGTGACTGTCAGAGCACGGTCATCGCTAAGGTGCCCACTCCCAAGCCCTCCCCACCAAAGTTATCAGGAGGGAGGGGTGTAAGCATGGAGGCCAAACTCAGACTCCACTCAAGATTCTCCAGGCCCGCCCACCCGTCCCACCCAATAAACTGCAAATCTACCAGGTTCTCCAAGCCACCAGGATGGTACCTCTGCCTGTCACCTGCCTGCCTTCTCCAAAATATCCTTCCCAATAGAAGTTGCTCGGCTTGCTAGCCCCAGGTACAGCACTACCTCCTGCTGGAGCTTCACCCATCTGCCACAGGCCAGCCTGGGTCAGTGGCCAGGAAAGTCCAGAAACAGATGGGGTAGAAAGCGGGAGGAGGAACCTCCAGCTGGTGGTGGGTGTCGGGGGGAGACAGGGAATGAAATATCTAAAGGGGGTGGTCCAACCTGCGTACACTAATGGCTTCAGCGGGTCCATAAACACTGTGAAACTGTGGGTACCTTGGGTCTAGGCTATCTGCTTTGTTCTAGGGAGCAGCTAAGATACTCATCAGAGTTCCCAGGGCATCTGATACCTATGAGGTCAAGAAACCAGGTGCTAAGGAGGAGGTTCCCCCAAAAGCAATTCTCCTACCACAGCAACAGGCAGGAGGATGCCTACCTGTACAGTCACATGACAAGTGGGTGCCACCTACATTCTTCTCTGGTCCCCCTCTGCACCAGCAAAAACGGATCTAGGCTGGTGTTGCCTAACTTTGACACCCAAGAGGGCTCTCTCAGAGCCCTCCGCGGGAGGAGATACGGCCCACACAAAAACCCAAACCCACCAGCTCAACACATCACAGCTAGAATACCTTCATGGATGTCCTCCGGCCCCACTTCCCCTTTGCATTATGGCAAAGGTTACTGGTTTGCTATTTACTGAAAGAGACCGGACTAACTTTTGGGAATACAGAGGGTGAGGTAATGCTAAAAGAGAAGGCTGTGAGCTCAGAAGTGGTGGAAGAGAGGAACAGAAGGCACGAATGTCTGAGGTTGAGGGGATATGGGTGAGACAGGGCAAACCAGAGGATCAGAGGGAGTGAGGGAGGGTCCTTCATAAGGTAACCTAGCCAGAGGCTAGCACAACACCACCCTGTACTCACACATGCTGACCCTGTGTCTGAGGTGCAGTTGGGGCAGGGTATACCTGTCCTGGAGAAGGTCGCAGAATAGGAAAAAAAAAATTTCTCACGCTCTGGCCCTAGCCTTCGGTTTGACCCACACATACCTCCACCATTTTTGTAGCAGAGGTACGGGAAACGCCAGACGTTGCCCAAACCCACGAATCCTCCGGCCACAGACAGCACAAAGTCAATCTTGCTGGACCACTTCTCCCTCTGAGGGGGCTTCCCCTCAGCCTCATCCTCAGGCCGCGTTCCGGGGCTCTTCCCTGGAGAAGGCTTCAGGATGTCTTTGTGGAAGTCTTTCAGACATTGCAGCTTCTCCTTGGTGGCCATTTTCTCGTTTTCTATGGAAGGAGAACCAATGAGGAGGATGAAGTCTACCTCAGTGACTTAGAACCAGGTCCTGCCCTCACTGCAGCAGGAGCTTCCCCACCATGAGTCCCCATCATAGAAGCCATCTAGACCCCAAGGATCTCAAAAATTCAGGGCTTAAACATCTGCAACCTATAGAAACAACAGGCTCCACTTCCCAGGCACCAATCAAAGAGAAGCACCGGTGGCCCAAGACCACCCCTTTTGAAACATCAAATTTCATTCAGCCTGTGTACCCTGGGCAGTTCCAGACATCTTCCACAGGAGAGGCGGTCTGCAGCTCTCCACACCAGCAAACACTTTTCTAATTTGAGGTCTGTACAGAAGACAGTAACTCACATCTCAGGTACACCCTCGTGCAGAGCCTAGTGTGGGGTCTGACCTCCAGGAGGTGCCTGCTCCAAGATGAAGAAGAGAAGAAGGAAGGTGGTGTTGGCTGTACAGAACCCCACCCTGGGAAACAGGCTTCACCATCAGGGTATAGAAAATGGGTAGTTACAGAATATGTTTGTATTAGAAAAAAATAAGGCTTTCTTATGCAGAATTATACAAGGATGCTTGTGGCAGCTGAGGATGTGAAGCCAGGGCAGAGTAAGTGTGGAAAGCAAGGAAAGCCTGGGTCCCATCCCCAGGCTGTAAACCAGGGCTTGCTACTTAGTATCCATTACTCAGTCCTGCTGACTCCAGGCTAAACCCACGACCGACCAACCGCAGCAAGCAAGGGTCTTGCTTTCTGTTTCCCAGCTGGGCCTGGACGTAAGGAGGCTTCCTAAGGCTGCAACAGTCCAGGGTCACCCTCCTGCTTGGGACTCCACCCTGGGCAGGGGGTTGTATTGGCTGGTGTTCAGCATCTTCTCCTAGTATCTCCTTGTGTCTCTGAAGCTTAGCAAAGACGGTCACCTCTTGGGGTGTGCACCATCCAAGTCATCAAAGGACACATAAGCAGGTCCTTTGATAAGAAAGGAACCAAGCACATCCAGGGACCCTGTCAAGCCAGGGTCCTGTGAGCAAGGGATCACATGCAACAGGGCAGAGAGCTGCAGGGTAGGAATGGGGAGGGGAACGACTCAGAGCTAATAGCCCTCCTTGATCTTTTCTGAGCCTCCCTTTCCCTATCTGCAGACTGAAATGAGTGATAACAAAGGCAGCCGAAGAGCCTAGGACACACCTTGTTTGTCTTCCTGATCCAAGTAGATACTTGGCACTGAAATATCAGATTTCAGAGAAAAATGGAAATTTGAATTCCTCTTACAAAACGGGAAGGTCAGAGCACACAGGGTCTGTGCTCCTCCTAAGAACACCCGCTGAAATAGATACAGAGCGCGCTGTTCCCAGCTCATGCCCTCTGGGAAAGCACCTTCACCTGCCTGGCTGCAACCTGGCTTCCCACAGCCAACTCCTGCCTGAGCACACTGCCCAGCTGGAAGTCTTCTCCATGACCAGAGATAAGGATCTGTCCTGTTTAGAGCTCTGATGCCCGGCACACAGTAGGGCATCAGAAAAGTGCTGCTGTACCAACAGAACTTCACTGCCATGGGGAACATGATAAGACCTTGCACTAACGTTCAGAGTGGCTGCCAGAGACATTAGGGTATACAAGAGTGACATGCCAGGTCCCCGGGGGGTTCTGCAAGGAGGAGAGGCCCAAAAGCTCAATAACCCCACTTCCCCCACACCTCCTTCCTCTCACTGGCTGGCTTGGGGTGGAGGACCCCAATTGTTTCACTATCTGGCAGGGAGCAGACCAAGAAAGGCTTCCTGGAGCCACTGGGCAGCCCCCGGAGTCCTTCCTCTGTCTGGGGGAGCATCCGCATGGCCTTTCTCTGCGGCTCCCCCGGGGCCCGCATGCCTTAGCAGGCCTGTGGCCACTGTGAAAACAGCTCGAGCAGCCAGCATTGTTCCTGCAGCAGGTCAGCAGCCCCCGATGGTTATCTGAACAGCTCATTGTGGCCTGTGGTGGGCGCATAATTGGAGGATGTGGGACTCCACTCCCTCCCAGGGAAGGGTCCGCTCAAGAATGACCTGGAGCCTCCAACTGAGAAGGGCTGATCCACCCTTTAGACACGTCTCAATCCTTGGGGCAAGGTCAGCCTAGCTTTTAAACTTAAGAGGAGGAGAAGGACCAGCTTCCAGTACTCAGGAGGGACAGAAGGGGGTCAAGGGTCTCCTGGCCTCACAGGCAGCTACTGGCCAAGGCTGGACCTATTAGGACCAGGACTCTAATGCCCCATGGCCCACTGCCCTGACAGCCCTGGTTCTAAATTCTGGACTCCCAAACCCACTAACAACTCCCCAGGAGTGTGATTCTCCTTCACCATCACATCTCCTCCCTATGGGAGTGTAGTCCAAGAAGCAACGGTTCTCCATTTGCCTTTGGAGAACCTAGGGCCCAGTGCTCCTGCCTCAGCATCACCTCCCACCCTCAGGTTGGCTGCAAGTCACAGGACTACCATCTAGGGAGGGTAGCCCCAAAGTTTCAGACGCCCCTGTGTCCAGAGAAGGGCCTGCAAAGTCCCAGGCACCCTGCCCTTCTTCTCTCTTGGATTCTCATTTCAAGCCCTTCGCGTGTGCCTGTCCAGCGGCCCAGCAATATACTATTCCAGCAAGACCTGCAGATCCCCTCAGCACATTCTTGGCATCCACCCCCACGTCCCTGTCACCATGGCAACCTTCTCTCTCAGCCAGCAGCCCCTAGCGCAGGCATCTACAGCAGCCTCCCCATAGGTCTCCTTGCTGCTCTGCTGCCCCCCAGCCTATTCTCATGCAGCAGCTGAAGGCAGCTTAAAAAAAAATCACATTCATAATGGACCCCAGCTCTCAGTGCATTGCTAGAGGGAAACACCAGGCCTGCTCCAGTCCCTGGCCCTCCTAGATCCCAAGCAAGACCCTCACAAACCCTTATTCCCCCCACACCATGTGGGACAGTCCCACAGGAGTGTTGCAGCTTTCCCCACTCCTATGCTGGCTGCTCCAGGCACTGTGGTAGCAGCTTGGTGATGCGAGCCCTGAGGGGCTGAAGGACCTTAGGCAAGGCACTCAGCCCCTCCTCATCTTTAGAGCAGTAGTGCCTGTCATGGGGTGCAGAGAGAGAAATGAGGGGGTACACGGAATAGCTCAGAATAGCACGTGGCACATAGCAAGCACTCCCTAAAATAATAACTGGCGTCATTATTACCAACCCCAGGGTGGACAAGACCTTTATCCCACTCAGCAAGAGATGAACAAGGCCCAGCCAACTCTGAGGTCACTGGAATGAGCTGGTATCACAGAGACCCTGAGGCTTTGCCTCAGCCCTTGGCTTCTCTGCCTCTGCCAGCCCAGGCTGAATTCTCATGACACCCTGCCTAGGGTCCACCTCTATAGACTCCCAGTTATTTCACAGGCCACAGCCTAACACAGCGAGCCCCTTCGCACCACCTGCTGGCAGTCTGCTGCTCCAAGGCAGTTGTGTCTCTTGGCTTAGGGCCCAGGGTTGTTTCACAGTGGTGAAGGTGCTTAATTCTCTTTCTAGGAGCTTCCTTACAGTTAGCGCAACTACAGGTGATTACCGTTCATGGAGTTACAGGCTCAAGGATGAAGTGCCTCTCCCCATACGGCTGAAATCACTGTCCCTTTTCCAGGGGTGGCTGCCAGATCCAGCTGTGCTTGAAGATCACCAGGCAAGTTTTGTCACACACACACAGCCCAGGTTGACCCTGGAGCCAGTGACATTGTGGGTTTACAAGATACACTTTTGTGGACAGTTTAAAAACATCAATTTTTTTTTTTTAGTACCTAGGCTAAACTATTTCAGAACAGCTTCCTGTTCTGTCATTCTTTGCTGGGGACAGAAGGGAGGTATGCAAGAGGGAAGACAGGATCTCAAGTATCCCAAGCCAGCCTTGAACTCACAGGTAGGAGGGATGACCTTGAACTTCTGATCCTCCTGCCTCTTGAACCCAAGGCCTTGCACGCACCTATGCAATACCGCCTCAGGGCACTCAGAGGGGCCAGGGTAGGTGGAGCTAGAGTCCCCACCTTGCTTTACACCTACAGAGTGTACAGAGTACAGATCAGAAGAGTCTACTGTGTATAAATAGGGCTGCTGGGTCAGAGAAGTGGCCTGCCCAGTGCCGAGCCCACTGACTGGAGATGCCTTCATTACCTGGCTCCTGCCTGCCTTCCTCCCAGGACCCGTCTAGCCCCTCTGGCCTTCAGACACCCTCCACACCAGCCAGGCAGGTCTTGAAGTTGATTTACATTACCCCTGCCTCCCCAACATTTGCCTCTTTACTCTAAGACAAAGGGACACAAAGCCCCAGCTCTCAGTGCCAGCATTCGCCTGCAGGATCTTAGCTCAAATAAACGATCCCTACTAGAAATGATTAAAATCTCTTACTGTTGCTGCCTTCACCATTCAGGATCTCCTATCAAGGAGGCAGGCACACATCTGCTTCCTCTTGAGCTTGTCCCCGGCCCACCCCAGTGCCTAGCACACAGCAGGTCCTCACAGAGAGCTTGGTGAGAGATCGGATGTCTCTTAGGGAGCCTCTGCAAGAGGAATGAGAGGCTCTGTATTCATCGTGAGCAGCTCTCAAAAACTGGGGCAGGAGATGGGTCACATACCCATTGCACATATGGAGACACTTTAGTCTGAAGGGCCCTGCAGAGCCAGTCTATGGCTAGACCCCTTTGTACTGTCCTCTCTAGAGAAGAGCTTCCCTCCTTCCCTTTCCCTGTTCACTGCATAGCCAGCAGGCATGAGCTTCCATGAGGAGGCCATGATGATGATGCTTGGTGACCCAGGACAAGTGACAACCTCTCTGTGACTCACTGGAATATACTTGAGAGCTCTCACCACACTATGGTGAACAATAAAAGATATATTCAAAAACTGTCATGAGAATTACAGATTTTCAATGTTCTCTCCATACTGTAAGTATGTAAGAAAGTTGGTTTGATATAGCAATTCCATAACAAATACGTATCTAAA